AAAAAATAACATTAGATGAATAAAGAATAAATTTGTTTACACTACATAAAACTAATAAAGACAATATATGAATCAAATTCACTAAAGAAGTAAAATGAATGAGAACTATAGTTTAATATTTAAATTCTAAAGTTAATTATGTGCAAGAAGGAGATAGTTTGAATAAAATTTTTTTGTATAATTGTTTTTTAGAATTAATATGTATATTAATATAATATTAAGGTTAATAAATTAAATAATAAAAAGGGTATGCCATACCATTAATTTGGTCCAAAAAATGCCATTTAAGTAGCGAAGTCAACATATTAGGCCCACAAAAACACCACTTAAGTAACCGTCACTTAGAGTTAACGATTTACTGAAGTCAAAGGTTAAAAAGGGGCTGATTTGTCACCTATTAATGAGATTGAGGGTTTGTTTGCCACTGAAATGAGTTGGCCAGTTGGGGGGCTGATATACCATCGATCACTAAGTATAGGAGCTGATTTGCCCTTTTTGCCGAAGAAGATCGCATCACTGCCTTTCTACATGCATACTTGATTTTAATAATGCTATTAATTTTGTCAAACCTGTAGTAAGGCCATGCTCCACGCATGAAATTGTCACAGTTATACATAATTTTTTTAAAATTAGTTTTTATCAGTTGGGTTTTTAACAATTTTTAAAAAATTTAAAACTATAATATTTTATAAATATTATAAAAAAGATTGAAATAAATTCGATTTTGATCTAAAAATAGATTATTTTAGTTATTTTTAATAGAAATAATGTAATTTTAAATTTTTTTCTTAATTTTGTAAGGACTTAATTGACAAATATTTTTCTCATTTTTTAATACTATATCTTTAAAAATACAAATTTTATTTGATTTGATAATTAAAAGTAATTAATAATTATAAATATTAATTAATAATTAATAAAATAATTTATATTTACTTTCAATATATTAAAATTCAGTCTAAAATTAATATTTTAAAAAATATTTTAATCAAATATTTAAAATTTTTTATATTTATAAATTTACAAATTGTTTGTATGACAATCAAGGTTGTCAAAATCGAGATTTTATCTAAAATCGTTTTGGTTAGGTGAAATTGGAATCGTAAAATCGAATCGGTAAAATC